GATTAATATATATTTTTTATATTTTAAATTATAAATAATTATTATTATTTCTAATTACTAATTATATCTAAACAATTAATGCAAATAGCTACTAAAACTGACAAGTTATCTTTCCTATATTTCTCCATGACAAAAAGAACAAAAAAAGAAAAAAAAAACAAAAACAAAAGGGATATTTCAAGAATTCACTGATTTGAAAGAATGGAAAAAGACACAATGTCCTTCCTAATTTTGATTTTTCTCCATTAAGAGACACATTACTTACCATCCATACCTAATCTCCTTGACTGAATAATATGGCACATGTGCTAGGACACATGCACCCGTAACCATTAGAACCCTAAAAATATCCAATTTTCTTTTGTCTTTATCTCTCTTTGGCAATTTGTAACTTCAAATAATAACATTAAACAAGTCTTAGATCTTGATATGGTATTTGAAAAACTGGTTTTCATCTTTTTGAGGTTTGAATTCTTTGCTATTGGCCTCTTGACTAATCAGTAATGCGCATTCCCTCAGCCAAGGGTTAGGTTTGCTTCTTCCTCAAAATTTTGAAAACATCTCTAATAAAGAAAGTTCCAATTCCTCATGAAAATATACTTTTTATGATATTATCATAAGAAAAGGCAAATAAAAATATAAGTTTTGTTATTTTTATTATTTAAAAATATTAACTTTGTATTTTCTTTATTTAAGAATTAATAAGATAGTGATACTAATGTGATAAATAACTTTTTTAACTATTTAATTAATCATTAAATAAAAAATATAAAATTAACATTCTTAAACAAAAAAATTAAAAATTTATTATCTTATCTAAAAACTGATAAAATTTATATCTTTAAATTAAAAACAATAAAGCCATATCTTTATTTACATCTTTTCTCTTATTACCATTCTCTAATGAATTGCATCCAACGACAATCAAATATTCATGTCACATTATTAGCATTGACCGAATTTGATTCATTAGATCAATTCGGTACTTTTCATGTTTCAATGCTCTTCATTAATTCCTCCAAAGAAATTCCTCAATGCATTCACACATAAAATTTTATTTTCATTAATTTTGAAATTTATACATTTTACAAGTTTTACTATTCTTTTTTTAAATAAAAAAGAGTTTTAAATTATACTATTCTTTTGAGATTGGGTTTTTGTTAAAATAGGAAAAATAATAAAAAATAAAATCAAAATTTCAGATTGAAATTTATAATTCTTAATGTAAATCACATCGTTTAAAATATTATAAGGTAAATTTTATATTATCAATTAATTATTTTTATTTTTTGATATTTATAATATTATAGACATTAATTAATTTAATAATTTAATAATTTAATAATTTAATTTATATCATGTCAAATTTTAAATTTTTATCCTAAACTTTCGTTGTCACTTTCATTACTCAACTAGGAATTAAAATTGGATAACTTCAATAAATGCCCCGATAAAGTCGTTGTGAAACATTAAAAAAAAGTAAACATCAAAAAAATAAAAGAAAATGCAAAAAAAAAAAAACGTACTTATAATTCGAATGTGGTAAGAAATAATAATAATAAAAATTTTAAATCAACTCATACGATGGCCAACCATTTAAAATGTTAGGGATACCCAATTTTATAAATATTTTTATTAATTCTATTTCTTTACAATTAAAATAATTAATAATTATAATAATTAATTAATATGAGATTAATGCCTCTCAATCTTATCTTTTTAAAAAATTAGAGTTTCCACTTATGTTTAGAACTAAAATCTTAATTCAAAATTTAAAATTTTATCATAT